AGACAGGCACAGGGCACGGAGCTGCTGCTTGTTTTTTTGAGAGTCATTTGTTTGTTAAACAAAGCAACAGGGAGGGAGAGTAGGATTGCCCATGCCCTGCTTCACTCCCCAAACGTCTGCAATGGCCAGGGATGGGCTCATGTCGCCGGGAGCCTGGGGCTCCCGTGGGGTCTCCCACATGAGCAGCTGGGCCCCGAGGTTAGGGCCATCCTTCACTGCTTTCCCAGGGGCATCAGCAGGGAGCTGGATGGTGCAGTCAGCAGTGGAGCTGGCTTCTGGAATGGGTGAGACGGCCACTGCAGGCAGGCGCTTACCCAGCTGTGCTCTGCCGCTGACACCTTCCAGCGCAGCTAGCACCTCCACTGGTGTAGACAGCGCCCCGCTCAGCGCCAACCTCGTGGAGGGCTGCTCAAGGGACAGCAGGTGCCCCCGGGCTGGTGGGACAGGCAGCCCGGCCTCAGCAGGCGCCACCCCCGGCCCAGAGATTTGAAATTCCTCCCTGGAAAATCAAGTAATCAGGGGAGTCAGACAGCGTGAAATGAGTGTGATCCTCGCCAGCGGCCCCGAGGGAGCCGGCAGCATCCTCGGACGGCCGCGGGCAGGGACGCGGGCAGGGCCCTGCCAGCTCTGCCCTGCGTCGCGGAGGAGGGGTGTGAGCTGCAGCTGGGCAGCGGCTGCTGGGCAGCGCCAGGGGAGCCGCGGGCACTGGGCTTCAGGAATCGCCCCAGGAGACTCGATGCGGACCAGCCGCGGGTGGGAAGGACTTTCCCGCAGCCACGAAGGCGTGTGCAAAGGCCGAGCCACGAAGGAGTCAAGTAGCTGTGAGACCAGCTGCAGGTGACCGACAATGTGGACAGAGGGGCAGGGCAGGGGAGGAGCCACGGCGGGGGCGGGGCTTGCTGAAGGAGGAGCCACCGCGGGGTGGAGCCAGAGGGGCAGGGGAGGAGCCACGGCGGGGGCGGGCCCTGCTGAAGGAGGAGCCACCGCGGGGGCGGAGCCAGGGGAGGGCAGGGGAGTAGCCGCAGGGGGCGGGGTCAGGACCTGCTGGAGGAGGATCCACTACGGGGGCGGGGTCAAAGGGGCGGGACCTGCTGGAGGAGGAGCCACTGTGGGGGCGGAGCCAGAGGGGCAGGGCACCAGCAGCATCATGGCCACCCCGCCAACCCTGGGAGTGGGGAACGAAGATAGAGTGGCCTGGGGGTGGGACCTAGTGTGTGGGCTCAGCCGACCGCCCCACCCCATCCTCAGCGGGTGTTGCGGGACCCCACACAGGGCCAGCGCTGCCCATGCAGGGCCGGTGCCCCCAGGCAAGTAAGGACCTCCCAGGCAGGGATGCCAGCAGAGGAGGAAGAGGGCAGGAGGAGGAAGGGCAGCGCCAGTTGAGGGCAGGACGCAGGCCCAGGAGGGCAGGACGCAGGCCCAGGAGGGCAGGACGCAGTCCCAGGAGGGGTGTCCTGTGTGTGTGTGGGCGTGGGTATGGGGTAGGTGTACCCGCCTGGGCTCGGATCCTGGCTTAGCCACTTTCCAGCTGTGTGGCATTGCCCAGCTGACCCAGCTTCCCTGTGCCTCAACTGGACAACACTGGAGAAGGATCACGACACACTGCTAGCTCCAGCCACTGGCTGCGGGCTCCCTCAGGAAAAGGAGCAGCCAGTGGGTGGGTCTCAGAAGGTTCCAGAAGCTCCTGGAAGGAGGAGGAGGGCCACGTGTCCAGGGCCTCGAAGGGGGTACTGTGACACAGAGGACAGCTGTGGACAGCTGTGTGCTAAGCTAGCTGCATTGGCACATGGGGGTGGGGCCTCCTCAGGTGCCCGAGCTAGCTCCCTCCCCCAGGGTGGACATGCTGACCGGGCACAAACGCATCACAGCACAAACGAAGCTTTGTACCTTTGTATCTGGACCCAAATGCTCCATCACATGCAAGCTCCAGCCCAATTCAGCAGCTGATGCCAGCCCACCTTGGCAACCAGACAGGCTGGAGGGTATGGGTGGGTGCCAGGAGCCCGGGCAGGCAGTGTGCAGCTGGGGCTTGAGGCCCAAGCACCCACACCTGCCCGCCCACCATTACCACCCAAAAGGCCACCTGGCCTGGCCTTCCTGGGTCTCCTGCCAGCTCGGTCGGTCCCATCTTGGTAGCTCTGGCAAGCTGGAGGGTCCTTGGCCTGAATCTCACCTCCTCCTGGCGCAGGGCAGTTCCTCCTCAGGGAGAGGAGGTGGTGGGGCAGGACTGAACCTGCCGCTGGGGACGCCACGCCATGGTGGGCTGGTGTTGGTGTCACCGTGTGGTCACAAGACAGTGGTGGCACCGCTGAGCCTCTCTGGAAATGGAAATGGTGGTGGTAACCACCCCACACCCACACACGCCCTCCACCTCTGCCCTGGCAACCGGGACGCGGCGAGGAGATGGGGGCTGGGGGGAGGGGGCACAGCCATGCCACACTGTGCCAAGGCTCCACACCTGGGCGTCTGGAACACCCACACTTGCAGGATGACCTCCATCCCCACCACCGGAGGCCCCGCTTTCTGCAATGCGTACAATTCCCTGGCCTTGAAAAGCCTTTTGTGATCCAGCGGATGGTGAAGTGCAAACCAGGTGTGTGACAGTGAATCCACACAAGATCGAGCTTACAAGCATCACGCGTGCCCGGAATGTGCCCGGAGCAACTCCGGGGGGCACACAGGAACCTGGCCTGGAGGGAGGGCCAAGAGCCAGGGGCTGGCGTGTGGAGGGCTCACCTCTCTCTCTCTCTCAAGCGCCTGGTCAATTCGAAACGCCGTGTGCTGGCACTGGGACCGGGGTCTGCCCGCACACCAAGGAATATTCAGTCCTTGGGTCTTCCTGTCCTGCCTTATGCTGGTCAGCGCCCAGGGGGTAGGGGTGGAGGTGGGACTGCCCTGGGGTTCCCGGGACCCGTGACAGGGGTGCCCATTCTTTGCTCATGCCCCCAGTGTGGCTTCCCTGCCACGGTGGAATGCCTGCGCTCAGGGTAGCATGAATGGGGTGGTCCCCTGGCTAGCAGGGACTGCTCACAATGGCAAGAAACCCGAACACACACAGCCAGCCCCTGCTGGGTCCCCACCACCACCACCACCAAGGCTTTACTTGTCTCTTGCCTATGGGCCCACAGTTCTGTCCCAGTTCCCACCAGGAGCCCAGCTGCAGGGCCTTGGTGGGCGAACCTGCCCCTGTGTCTTTTGTCCACCTCCACCCCGGCTGCCCTGCCTGGTGCTGCCAGAACAACGCAGCTGTTAGCTGTGGGTTTGGGTGGGTCCCCCGTGTGCTGAAGGTGCAGCAGGTGCTTCCTGCACTTGCTGGGCCCTACAGATCAGCTGGCTCACAGGATTTGGGGGACATGGCCGAAGCCTCCACCACTGCCAGGCACCCGCAGTAAACCAGACAATCCCTGGCACCCGACTCAGAGCCCCCTGGCTTCCTGGCAGGTGGGGCCCCAAGCCCCTTGCTCTGGGGAGTTGAGAGCCCTGGCCTAGTTGGTGGAACTGACCCCCACTTCTAGCCCAGCCCCCAAAGCTGTGTGCCATGGGCACAAACGGTGGAGGGCATGTAGTGTGTCGTGCCCTTTCTTGGAGCTGTTTGTGACCTTATGGGCTACCTGGAGGCAGCGGCAAGCATGTCTGCTGGGAGGGGTTGGGGGCAGGTGTGTAGATGGTGTGTCACTTAGCCGTCCACGTGGACGAGTAACAGAAGGACCCAGAGAGGCAGAAGTGGGGAACAGGGGGGGAAGGGATGTGCGCACGTGTCAGCAAGGGGAACCATTCTGTCCTCCCATCCCAACACCAGGTGTCCCTGCCACACACCCTGCCCAGGGCAGGAGCAGGTCCCCGACTGTACGCCCGGGCCTCCCGTCGGAGCCCGTCGGCCCTGAGCCGTTCATTCTGGTGCCCGTGGTGTGTTTGGGGTAGAGCTGTGTGGGGTACACAGTTAGGTGCCTGCCTCAACTGGGCCCGTGTGGGGCACGCAGTAGGTGCCTGCCTTGGCCCGGCCCATGTGGGGCACACAGTAGGTGCTTCTCTCGGCTCAGCAGAGCTGCTGTTTATCCCACCGACAGGTGGCTCACCAGTACCGCACAAGCATGTGCCTCCGGGGGCGGGGGGCAGGGACCACCCTCCAAGGCCGGGAAGTGGGCACCCTCAGGTGCATGTTGTGTCCTGGCTCGGTGGAGAGGTGAGTGAGCTGGAGGCACCTGTGTCCTGGGAGTGTACCTCCATCACGGCCCCCTGCGCCTGGGGCTCACGCCTGGATGCAATGAAAGCCAGAGACTTGGGCCAGGGCTACCAGCTCTCCCTGGGGCCTGCTGCCCAGCGCCACGGTCCTGCCCTCATGCAACCTCCTTTCTCCTAACCCTGCCTCCTGCCTCAGATGAACCCCAGGAGTTGCAAGGAGGGTGACTCAGACCCGGGCTCCTGGAGGAGCGAGCCCCCTCACTGCCCCCAGCACAGGTGGGCGGCCCTTCCCAGGAAGAGGTGTGACGGTGTGTCCCAGCAGGGGCAGGGTGGTGGTGGTGGTGAGGGGGCTGTATTTGAATCCTGCCCTGCATGACCTTGAGCCCGACACTCCCCACCCGGGACTTGGCTTCCCTGGTAATAAGTGGCTACATCAAGCGCAGCTTAGTGAGCTCGGGGTGAGCTCGGCGGCTCGGCGGCTTGGGGGGTGGGGGGCGTCCAAAAAAGCAGGAACCCGAGGAGCCCGGGACTCTCGCGGCCTGGACTTGGCGGCAGGAGTCGGGAAGCGGCCTGGCGTGGCCTGACCATCCCGCACGCCTCGCGGGGAACTGCAGGGACCCAGGCGGGGAGGCAGGCGCCTCACAGGGGAAAAGTTTCCAAGCGAAGTTTGGGCCGCGCCGGGCGACGCCAAAGCCAGGCCAACACTGCCCCCGCGTGGGCGCGGCGCCGTGCTGCAGTCGGAGGACACAGGCTGTGGGTTCGAGGCCACGGGCAGGACCCGCAGGACTTGCTGTGGGTCGCGGTGGGATGCGTCTGACCTGGGGCCCGCAGGCTCATCCGGACCCGGACATCCCCTGGCAGGGGGCTGCGGGGCAAGCATACTGGAGGCGGGACGTGGGACTGCGAGAACGAGGTGACCCTCTCCACCCCGGCCCGTGGAGCTGCTTGCTCCAAGCTGTGCCTACCCACAGCCTGCCCTGAGCCGCCGCCCCGTGTCCCGCCCCTTGGTCACCCCTTTTCTCGCTTTCCTAGGTGCAGAGTGGGTGCCATGCTGTTTCCGCGCAGGCCAGGAGGGGGCGCTGAAGACTGGCTCCCTAGGGCACAGCCAGGGGGAATGGATGGGTTGGGGGGCTCCCAGAGAGAGAGGGAGAGGAGCGGGTGGCTCCAGCCTCGTCCAGGAGCAGGTGCACGGTGGAGGCCGTGACCACTCACGGTGGAGGCCGTGCAGCTGGAGCCGGACCAGCCCCTGGTGTCTGCTCCCACTGCCCCATACACGCTGGGCTGAGGTCACTGGGCTGGTGCCTGGACATCTGTGAAGCAGTAAGGCGGTCAGCCCAGCCGGTAGGAACAGCCACAGGCTAGGGTGGCCGACAGGTGCCAACCTCAGGTGTGGGCTGACCTGGGTGGAGAGGCTTGCCTGGTGCCCCTGGTGAGTGCAACCACTGGGCCTGCTTAGGCCCCCACCAAGCCTCCTCCCGGCTGGGATCCCACCTCCCTGACCTCCTTGGGTCCTTGGCCAGCAGGTGCAGAGACCTAGCCATGTGGGATGTGTTTATTGAGGGGGAAAGGCAGGGAGGGGTCTCCTGGCTGGGGCCTGCATGACCTCTGGGCCTGGGCTTCCCAGCAGGCCCAGTTCACCGCTGAGCCCTCTGGGTTGCCAGGGAGGGCAGGAGCAGCTGGTAGCCCCTGGGCCGGCTGCGCCGTAAGACTGACTGGAGCACCAGGCTGGGCAAGAGGGACTCCTGGAGGGAGAGAGGCCACCATCGGGTACTGCAGCGGGGCAGCCAGGCAGGTGGGGAGGGTCCCCCGGCCACCCCCCACACCTCAGGGCCACTCACCAGCTTCTGGCCCCAGGAGTAGGGTGGCTTGTCTACCTGCCCCAGCGTGTCCAGGAAAGTCTTGAGGTTCCTCCGTGGCCTCTGGGTGCTCGCCTTGGGAGGGAAAGGCTGCCTGTAGCTCACAGGGGTGTCCTCAACTTGGCGCTCCAGCAGCTGTGGGGCCGGCCTGAGGGACACCGAACCGTGAGCCTCGCTGAGGCAGAGCGAAGGTCCCAGGCTTACCTGTGGCCAGCCAGGCAGGCATGGACAGTGCAGACCACAGCCTGTCTCTTGATCCCTCCCCCACCCCACCAGGCTGCAGAGGCAGGAGCGCCTCCCCTAAGCCTCTCACCGGTCAGGGGCGGCCCAGCGGGGGAGGCTAGCCCTGCTCTCATCCTTGGCCAGCAGCTGAAGGCTCCTGGGCAAATTCTGCAGCCATCGCTTGATGCTCTCGGCCACCTGCTCGGTCACCTCCGACGACACAGTGGGCAGCCTGCTGCCCGTAAAGTTCTGCTGTGCTGGGGGGAGAGGGACAGACTGACGGATGGACTGGTCGGTGAGGGCCCTGCCATGAGCCCTCCCCACCCAGACCCATCTCCATGGCAACCCCAGCTCCCTGCAGAGAAGGCTCAGGGTTTTAAAACTCTTTGCATGTTCCTGCAGGAGGAACGGAGATTTTTTTCCCCCTGCTGGAAAGCTCTTGGGATTTTCCAAGCTAGGAGCTGGCCCCTCATCCTCACTGCACCGTCACTGCTCCTCTGCCTCAGTCATTACCCACCCCCCGAGCTGGGGCTGGGAATCTGGCAGGAGTGGGGGGGATGCAGGGTTGGAGCCTCCCACTGCTGGGTGGGAGTCCCTCCCCCTCTAGCGGCTGACTCCCACTGGAGCCAGCTGCCACCTGCTGCACCCAATACAGACGCTTAGAGTATTCTGTGTACTTCTCTTTACTATTCAAGAGTATTTGTGATGTTTTACACTCCAGGTCTGATTATTAGAAACCGTTGCCTTCTTAAGGAGGAGGAAAGACAATGGGCCCTGTCTGTCGAGTCTGTATACTCAACATCCTCAAGGTCATGAAATAAAGCATTAGGGATAAGGCGGTGACCTTTTAGGTCATATGCTTCCTATTTCTTTCTATGGCTGCCCAATGCTCCAGAAATTCTCGCTCACACAGCCCCATATGAACTTTTAGAAACTTTATTTCTTCTAAGCATTAAACAGCGTATGTCTGAGACACGGATATGCTGTGACTGGAGGACTGAAGTTAGCAGCTTTTGTGTAGCAAGGAAGGGAAACAGCTGTACTTGGGGGCTGGCATGCTCATCTGCAGTGTGCAAAGCTTACAGGGCAGGGGCTCAATTCAGGAAAAGAAATTGAAATGGGGGCCCTGGTGCGATAGCATAGTGGTTAAAGTCTTTGTTGTCTCTGTAAATCTGACTTTCCAATAAAAATAAGTCCTACAAGATTAACATACATCTTATATGTTACATATTGTGTGTTGGAGCCTGGGATGGGGGCTGCTGGACAGCGGGACCTGGTCCACGGAGGGGGTAGGGTGGGATGGGGGCAGGGATGAGGGATGGATTTATTCCCATTCCAGCCTCTTGTACACCAATCACTTCAGAACAGGTGTTGGAAACTGTGCCCAGGGCACCTCTACCGGGGACCCCTGGTGCTGCCCACCTGGGCCCTGGCCAGTGCAGGCAGTGCTGGCTCTTCACTGCTGGGAGCTTCCTCTGCCACCCTCCCTCACGCTGGACTGGGCCTGCTCACCCGCATAGTTGCGCTCCCAGTAGCGGAGGGCCGAGTCCCGGAGTGTCTCGTCAGCAAAGCGCACCCGCCGCCTGGGCCCCGAGCTCTCCCTCTGGGAGCCCTGCGCAAGCGCAGCCTTGAGCCTGGAGGGCTGTGCGCTGGGATGCCTGCTGAGAGAGGCCAGAGGGCGCAGGAGGCAGGAGCTGAGCCCAAAGCCCCTGCCCTGCGGACACACACACACAGCGCCTCCAGTTCCCGTGCAAGAGCTTTGGCTGACTGCCTCTCCTGCCCGCCACAAACTCATCATCCTTCAACGAGATCGCTGTGCCTGTTTCCCAGGTAAGAGACCCCCACACCTTGCCCAAGGTCTCCCGGCAGCTGGCAGAGCCAGGATCTGCCGCTCGGCCCCCGAGTTGGCACCCTGACCCTTAGCTAGCAGAGGGGGTCCTGGCTCTAGGGCCTCTGTTGGAGCATCACCACGCAGGTGATGCTGACCTGGTGAGCTGTTCTGAGGCCTTACCCTGGCCACCGCCCTCTAGTCTCCACACAGCCATCCTCATACAAGCTTGGGGACTAGTAGCCTCGGGGAGGCACCTGGCACAAGAGCTGGCCAGGGCAGAACCCGGCCCAGGGCTTATGGCCATCTGCGAGATGGGTGTGTGTGTGTGTGTGTGTGTGTGTGTATGTGTGTCTGGTCCTCTCATCCTTCACGTGTTTAAACCTCAGAGACTTTTTTCTTCTGACAAATGAGCCTTGAATGATGGAGGATGGGACATCTGAGCGGACAGATGGCTAGACAGACAGCTACTGGGGAGGCCGAATGGGGGACATTCCTGGGTACAAGGCACAGAAAGGAAGGGGCGCCCTGTCTCATCCCGGCCCTGCCCACTCACTTCTTGACCGTGGTGAGTGGCGAGTGGTCACCTCTCAGCGGCGTAAGGGCAGACAGCTGATGGAGCAGGAGTTTTTTCAAGCTGTCCTGGAAGTAGGAGGAGGGGGCCCTTGGGGAGGACACGCACGCCTGGTGAGTGGTCAGGACCACTGCACTCCGGGAGCACAGGACAGGGGGCACTGTTCCCCCACGCCCCCTGCCCCAGGACCTGGCCCTCCCCAACACTCACCGCTGCTGTGGAAGGGATGGGCTAGAACAGGGCGCGCAGGCCGGGCAGTGCTGGGGCGCACCCCTGGGGTGTTGTGGCGTGGAGGGTGCCTCGACCCAGGAGGAGGTGGGTGACAAGGTGGGGAGCCTTCGTGGGGGGTAGGCAGTCCTTTCCGGGGTCCTTCTGGTCACATGCCCTTGGGGACGGTAAGCAGGGACTCAAACAGCAGGTCTAAGGGCTCCCGGCATGGAGGAGGGTCGGGAGGGCAAATGCAGGGGGTGGGCGGCCCTCCACCGGAAGCGACCCCCTCCCCCGTGGGCCTCACTCTGCGGCTCCAGCTGCTCCGTGCACTTGTCCCGGAGCTGGCTCAGGAACCTGCGGAACCTGCTGGGAAGCAGGTCCCCTAGCAGGGCGCCCAGGGAGTCCGAGGGCTCCCCGGCCAGGCCCCCGCGGGCGTCCTGGCCCACCCGGGGCCCGGGGCGTCGTGGCGCCGAGGGCAGGGGCGGCAGCAGCAGCGACTCCAGCACCGAGCGGCTGTGCGCAGCCCCCGATGGAGCCGCGGTGGGCACGGCGCGCAGGGGCGGCGGAGTGGGCTCGGAGTCCAGCTCCAGCCACCACGCGCCACCGCGGGCCGCCCGGGGCTCGGACGGGCTCAGCCTGGGCAGCCGCGGCTCTCGGGGTCGCAGGTGGTGGTGGTGGTGGCCGCCGGGGTACCCGCGCGGTGCCACCTCGCGAGTCCCGCTTCTGGGGTGCCGTCCGGACATGCTGGGTCTCCCTGCCGCGCGCGCGCGCTCTGCTCAGGGCATCCTCACGCCGGCGCGGGCGGAGGAGCCGCGTGGGTGAGCCCGAGGGGCCGCGTGGATGAGCCCACGGCCATGGTGCCGGGAGCCGGGCAGCGAGATGCCGGGTGCCGGGAACAGAGAGCGCCTTCGGGCTCGAGTGGCCGAGCCCCTGGCTGCTCACCCGAGAATGGGTGACGGCGGGAGCGCCCACCTTTGGGGGTGGCTGTGACGTGTGAGCGAGTGAGCCCCGCGTCAGTCGCGCACAGATCTGCCCCCCGCCGACCTCACCTGACTCCCTGGGAAGGGGGCGCGGGGCTCATTTTGGCTCCCTGGGCCGGGGTCCCAGGCGGAGCCAGTCCCCCTGCCTGCCCCGTTTTGGAAGGCAGAGCCCAGTCCTGTCCCCGAGCTCTGGCACTGTGGGGTGTGTGTGTGTGGGGGGGGGGTCCTCTGAGGCTGCGCTCTGCCTCGGCACACCCACCCACCCGCGACCCCCCATTTGCAGTGGGGTCCCACTCACCCTTATGCAGGCCTCTGGCTGGGGCCTGGAACGGTGTGGTGGGTTTTGAACCCCCGGGCAGGGGGGCTAGCTGTGGGAGAGCCCATCTCCCCAGCCTGGTCCCTCTGCCGGCCCGTCCCCACTGCTGCCGCCGCCCCCCCGGATTGGTCCAGGGTCATTGTGATCCAAACCAAGCCCCACCCTGGGGTGACCAGCTGAGGAACCAGCGGCCTGGGGCCCGAGGGTGGGGCTGGGTCACAGTGGGGAGCCCCCTGATCCTGTCTCTGGAGCTCAGGTGTGTCTGCAGGGGCAGGCTGTGGGCGGTGTGTGTTCCTCTCCCGTGTCTGCCTTGGAGACCGAGAGAGAGCTTCCATCTGCTTGGCTCACCCCCAAAATGGCCAAAACGGCTTGGAGCTGGGCCGATCTAAAGCCAGGAGCCAGGGGCCTCCTCTGGGTCTCCCACGCGGGCGCAGGGTCCCAGGTTTGGGGCCGTCCTTGACTGCTTTCCCAGGCCGCAAGCAGGGAGCTGGATGGGGAGTGGAGCAGCCGGGGGTTCCCTACAGGTGAGTTAAGGCAGGGAAGCGCTTTCCCCACAGAATTCTGCCTCAGCCAGCCGGGCCGGGCTGGGGGCGGGGCCAGCCGGGCGCCCGGAAGTGACGCCGGCGGACAAAGGCCGCGCACGCCGGCTGCGGTTGCGTCCGGCGCGGCGTGGCGGGGCATCCGCGCGGGGGTCGCCGTGTCCGCGCTGCTGTGCTCTGCTCCTGGGCCCGGGGTGAGTAGCGCGGGGAGGCACGGAGGGCAGGGGGCGCCGCGTCCCCCCTCGACCCCGCGGCCCCGTGACCCCGGCGCTGGCCAGCCGGGCCCCACGTGCGCGTCCGCCCCTGCGCCCCGAGCGCACTGGCCCGGCAGTGGGCGCAGCCCAGAGTGCCCAGGGCCAAGGTCAGCGGCGCGGAGGCCCGGCGGCCATGTCGCGGAGCGCAGAGCGCGGGTTGGTGGGCTCGGACCCGGCCGCGCTCCCGCCGTGGGTGTGGGCACTGGCGGCCTTTCAGGGGGCTGCTGCTGCCACCTGTGCCCCCCGGGGTCGTGGTCGGAGGCGAGGCTCGGACCTGGCGGCCCCTTACTGCGTCGTGTGTGTGTGTGTGTGTGTGTAGCGGCTGTTGACGCTACTGCTCGGACACCCCTCTGTTCTTCAGGCCCCCTGGGAGGGGTTGCTTCCGTGTGACCCCAGACTCCCCAATGCCCTGCTGGGAGCTGGCCCACAAAGGGGCGCTTGCTGCTGTCCTCTGGCGCTGTGGCGTTCCAGGGCTGAACTGCACCTGTGGCGCTGGGATCCCGTATGGACGCCAGTTCGAGTCCGGGCTGCCCTGCTTCCCATCCAGCTCCCTGCTTGTGGCCTGGAAAAGCAGTCGAGGACGGCCCAAAGCGTAGGAGACGCAGAGGAGGCTCCTGGCTCCTGGCTTTGGAACAGCCCAGCTCCGACGGTCTTGGCCATTTGGGGAATTGGTGGTTCTCTGCTGCTGTACTGGAATAGCTGAGGCTGTGGGGTGTTGGCAGAGACCAGGGTCTATCTGCCCACTGTGCCGGGAGCCTGGTGCTTGGGGGAGGGCTGCCAAATGCGGTGCATCTCCATGTTGGTGGCCTAGTCCATGGTGGGGCCCAACCCCTCAGGACTGCCCCCCGTTTTAAAAAGATTTATTTATTTTTATTGGAAAGGCATATTTACAGAGAGATCTTCCATCTGCTGGCTCACTCCCCAGATGGCTGTGATGGCTGGAGCTGAGCTGATCTGAAGCCAGGAGCTCTTCCAGGTCTCCCATGCGGGTACAGGGTCCCAAGGCTTTGGGCCGTCCTCCACTGCTTTCCCAGGCCACAGGCAGGGAGCTGGGTGGGAAGTGGAGCAGCCAGGACATGAACCAGTTCCCATATGGGATCCTGGTGCTTGGAGGTGGAGGATTGGCCAGTTGAACCAGTGTGGGTCCCCAGGGGCCGGCTCACCTCCTACAGGCCCCACCTGCAACAGCTGTTGCCTTGGAGCGGAGTTTCCCGCCCATGGACTCGGGGTGGTGTGTACCCCACAGCCGTGTCCGCTCCTGTCCTCTGCGGCTCTGGCATTACCTCCTTCCCACCCCAGCCAGGAATCGGGCAGAATGGCACGGGCTGCCCCAGCATCTCCCAGCAACCGTGTCAGGGGACTTCTTGTCCGATCATTCAGGGCAGCTCGACGTTTAAAGGACTCATGTGAGGCTTTTGGGGAAGTGATACATTTTGTCAGCAACGGCTGTGGCTGCTTTTAAATGGTTGGGTTTTCATCTGTAAGGTTTTGGGGGGCGGGGGAAGAGAGCTGGCTGGAGCCGCTCTGAGCTCCTGGACAGGAGCGTTCAGCCGCCCGTCCTGAGCCAGTCTCAGGTCCTGAGTGGAAGGGCACAGACAATGTACCTGCCCCCAGGGTGACCAGGAGTGCTGCCTGGGAGAGAACTGGGGTCTACAACGCTGTACCCCAACAGCAGGATGTCAGACAGTCCACGGGTCTGTGACCTGGAGGGCCTGAGCAAGCCTGCAGGGACAGACCCCGGAGGGGGCAGGGCTGGGTGGCGCGGGCAGAAGAGGGGGTTCGTGATGCTGTAATGGGCTGCTGTGGCGTCTTGGCTGGAGGCAGGTGGGCAGGCTGCGTCCAGCCTTGGGGTGCCCCTGGCAGAGCATCGTGGCGTCCACTGCCCCGGCCAGTAGACCCCGTGGCTGGAGCAAGAGTTCATTCCTCGAAGGGGTGGGTCACTGATGCTGCTGGTGTGGGCAGCTGCTGCCAGGGGCTGCAGCTTCTACAAGCCAGGCCCCCTGCTGCCCGCCTGCCTGGATGCAGTCACAGGCACCTCAGGAACCCACAGGGGAACAGGAGCAAGCTTCTCTCTGGTCATGGAGAAAGGGTGAGACCCAAGCAGCCCTGGAGTCCGTTGCGGCGAGCTATGGGGGGCAGAAGACCCCTTTGTCCCTGGCTGAGCAACTGTGAAGAGGGCAGGGCTATCAGGATGGGTGCTGTTTCCAGGGGTGCCATCAGGCTCTGGGGACTCTTGGGACCCCCACGTCCTCAGGCTTGGTCCCCGCACAAGACCCTTTCTCCCGCTTCCCGTTGCTTCTCTGCTTCTTGTGAGGCCTGGCCACATTCCAGACCCAGAGTTTGCCTGTGCTGGCTTTAGAGGCTGGTCCTGGGTTGCGGTGGGTGGCTGCTCCGGCTTGGCCGCTCCAGCAGTCCCAAGCAGTGTTAGGAAGAGGGGCCAGGATGCCACGGCCCAGCCCTCTGATTCGGGCCTGGGCCACATGGGTGGGAGACATGCACTCGAGGGGACCCAGCACCCGGGACGCTGTGGCCGGCAGTCCTGTTCTCCCAGAGCTCCTGTGAGGCTGGGAGACACACGTGGGCAGGTGCTGCTACATCTGGTAGAAACACATGGTGGAGCCAGCAACCGCGGGTGCCGTGGGAGGCACTGCAGCCGGGCCGGGCCGGGCGGCCCCTCAGAGGCCACTTGGGAGAGCTCCGCAAGGACAGTGAGCTTATCTGTGTCCCCAGCGGCGAGCACGGTCTCCGGCTTGATTGTGACCCAGTGGTTGGAGGGCCTTAACTGGGAACTCACTGTGGCTTGTCCTGTGACAATGTGGCATGCCCCCTGGCCTGGCCCTGGACCCCGGGGAGACTGGGGGCCTTGGTTTCCAGAGTCTATAGGTTGGACCCTACCATCCAGTGTCCCTGCTGTGCCCAGGCTCACCCTGCCTCGGTGGTCACCCCCACCCCAGCCCAGCGTCCCTGTTCCTTGGACGCAGCCCAGGAGTGGCCCGCTTGGCGGCCACCTGAGCACTGTTGGAAAGGACCCTTCAGCGCCATGGGACCCCACTCTGCCCTCACTTTCCTGCTGGGCATTTGAGTAGTTCCATTTATCTTCCTGTCTCCCTCCTGACTGTCAGCTCTCTGGGGACCAGCATGCTGAGGTGGCCCTGTAGCCAGAGTGGCTCTGCTGTGTGATGCCATGGCCAGGCTGATGGGGGTGGGGGGCCCTGAAGCAGTACCCCCAGCCTGGACGAGTAGGCTGCGGTCCTGCCTCAGTCTCCTGGCTGGCCGTGGGGCAAGTGAGAAGCACAGAGCCCAAGTTCATGGCTCTTTATGGAGAAGTCCCAGTGCTGAACCTGACCTCAGCATCCCTCCAAGATTGTGGGAGGGAGAAGCAGGGACGGAGGTTTTCCATCTGCCAGCCCACCCTCCAGAGTGCTACAGCAGCCAGGTCTGGGCCCCTCGTGGGCTACCCACTTCTGACTGCCCAGTGCAGCTGGAGGGAAGCTGTGATGTGGGGAGTCCCCGTCCCCCCCACCTCAGCCTGCTGTGCTCACTCTCACCCTGTGCCAGCCAGCGGCCCCTAGGGGGCGCTCTTCCGGCGTCTTGCTGGTTGTTCTGGCCATCTCCCGGCACCGCGGGGCGACTGGAGGGCCAGGCTGTGGTGTGAGCCCAAGGTCAGCTGCAGTGTCCACAGCGAAGGACCCGAGCCACCTGCTAGGGACCCTTTCCTCTGAGTTGAAGCCATGCAGCAGGGTCACACTGTGAGCTTCCTGTGGCGACCTGAGGGGTGTGGGTAGAGCTGGCATTGTTCTCTGCAGGGATGGGTTTGGGGTGCGGGGCAGGGCATGGATGCGGGCACCGAGCAGCCCTGGCGTGCCAGCCGCCTCACCGCCCCCTCCCTGCTCAGACAGGGCTGGTGGCAACATGACGAGCGAGGTGATCGAGGATGAGCAGCAGTTCTACTCAAAGGCCAAGAGCTACTGGAAGCAGATCCCCGCCACGGTGGACGGCATGCTGGGGGGCTACGGCCACATCTCCAGCATCGACATCAACAGTTCGCGCAAGTTCCTGCAGAGGTTTCTGAGGGTAGGCAGGTGTGCTGGGCTCTCCCTGGGGGGGCGGGGGTCTGTGCCTCCCACCAAGACTCCGAGGAGCTTGCGGGAGGGGTGCTGGGGCCCTTGGTGCCAGGATGAAGCCATTCTGTGGCTGTCCAGCTTGGCAGGTCAGCCTTGGCCCTTGTGCGGGCTGCCCGCCCTTGGCACCTTGCCCTGCTTTCCACTGCCCATCCTCCTCGCTCGCACACATGCACCCTGGCTTTGTGGGCTCAGGGCAGCCCCCCATCCATTCTCCTGCGGTCTCAGGGGTAAGAGCCAGCTCTGGCCCCTGCGGGAGTGTTCCATCACACACACCTGGCTTCTGTGTCCGAGAGCAGTGTCTCACGCCCGGAGCTCCAGCCGAGTCTGGTGCCCAGCACCCAGGGAGACGGGTCCCTCCTCCTAGACTACCCGCTCTGCGTTACAGGATGGCCCGAACAAGACGGGGACGTCCTACGCCCTGGACTGCGGCGCTGGCATTGGCCGGATCACCAAGCGGCTGCTGCTGCCGCTCTTCCGCGTGGTGGACATGGTGGATGTGACGGAGGACTTCCTGGCCAAGGCCAAAACCTACCTGGGGGAGGAGGGCAGGCGTGTGCGCAACTACTTCTGCTGTGGCCTGCAGGACTTCAGCCCCGAGCCTGGCTCCTATGACGTCATCTGGATCCAGTGGGTCATAGGTGAGGCCCCCGGCTGTGCACACTCGGCCCACCCCGCGGGCTCTGCCATCCTGGGGCCGTGGGATTCTGCCCGCAAGGTCAGGCTCCTCCAGGCCTTTGGGGCTGCCTGTTGCTGCCCACTTAGGGGTCCTTGCCGAAAACGAGATCCGGCTGAAAGGTAGCAGGTTTACTCCCCACCTCCCTCCACAGCCGGGGCTGGGCCAGGCTCAAGCCAGCAGCCACCAGCTCCGTTTGGTCTCCCGCGTAGATGGCCAGCATCCGGGCACACTGAGCCATCCTGTTTTCCTGGATGCTTCAGCAGGAAGCTGCACCGGAAGTGGAGCGGCTGGGACTTGAACCAGCATTTAAGATAGGGGGTGCTGACTCTGCAGGCAGTGGCTTAACTTGCTGTATACAGTGCTGGCCCAGTTGTAAAGAAATCTGCAGTGACCAGTTGCTTAACTGCATTCGAAGAAGCAAACGTAAGGGCGTGTGGTGTAGTGGGCTAACCCTCGACCTGTGGTGCTGCCATCCCACCTGGGTGTCTGGCTCAGGTCCTGGCTGCTCCACTTCTGATCCAGCTCTGTGCTAATTGCCTGGGAAAGCAGCAGAGCATGGGCCAAGTGCTTGAGGCCCTGTACCCACATGGGAGACGCAGAAGAAACTCCTGGCTCCTGACAGGCCCAGTGCTGGCCATTGCAGCCATTTGGGGAGTGAATCAGCAGATGGAGGGTATCTCTCCTTTATAACTCACTTTCAAGTATATTTATTTAAAAAAGGAAACCCACGCTTTCCCAGGGCTTTTCAGACTGCTGCGAGCACTTTAAGCCGTTGCTGGGCGTCCTGTCTCCTGCCCAGCAGCTCACTCAGCATGCCCTGCCCACTCAAGGGACAGGGTAGGTGCAGGTGGCCATGAGAGAGGCATGGCTGATGTACCCACAGTCTGCCTGGGGCGGGGCAGGCATGCCAAGGTGTGTTCCCCCTAGTGCAGGATGCTGGGTGCGCCGTGGTGTGCAGGCAGGGGAATGCCCAGCCCCCGCTCACCAGCCCTCCCTGCCACCCCCAGGACACCTGACAGACCAGCACCTGGCCGAGTTCCTGCAGCGCTGCCAGCGCGGCCTGCGCCCCAACGGCATCATCGTCATCAAGGACAACATGGCGCAAGAGGGCGTGGTCCTGGACGACGTGGACAGCAGTGTGTGTCGGGACCTGGACGTGGTGCGCGGCGTCATTCGCAGCGCGGGACTCAGCCTGCTGGCTGAGGAGAGACAGGAGAACCTGCCGGACGAAATCTACCACGTGTACAGCTTTGCCCTGAGATGAGCCGGGGCGGCAGGGCCCATGGGACCGGAGCCAGGGTGGGGTGCTGGCAGCTGGCCCAGAGCCCGGCTCCACATGGCCAACAACAGATGGTGGCTTGTGCGTGTGGAGGCCACTAAATACAGCTGTCTGCGTCCACTCCCGACACAGGCTCTTCTTCCCTGGGTATGTGGGCCCGACCCAAGTGGGGTGGGCAGTGCAGCGCTCCCCACCTGGGAACCTGCTGATTGTGCCAGAGGCCCAGGTCCCCCAGAGCCGTGTCTTAAGCAGGGGAGGACGTTGTCACCCTGGGCAGAAGAGCTGGACCAGTGGTCCATGTCTGCAGTCCCAGCCCTGCATGGTGAGAGGTGACTACCTCCCCTGCCTGTGGGGGTTCCTCCTTTGCAGGGATGGGGTGCCCCAGGTGCTACCTCCTCACCCCTACCCCATGGCTGCTGAGACCTCTCTTGTTGAACTTGGAGAGGGGCAGAGATGTTAATGCAAGAATCCTTAAGGCCAAGAGGTTGCATTTAATTTTATGATATAAATAAAGCATCGTGACTTCAGCCTGTTCTGAAGGCGTCGCGGAGCTGTAGTGACCCGTGTGACTCCAGTGGCTGGGCACCCACAGCTGCATTCAGAGACCTCAGGAGGCCTGGTCCCCAAGGACTGAGTTTGGCACAGAGCTGCCACCAGCTCACAGCCTGGCTCCAGCCGCAGCATCCTGCAGTGGGGTCACCGCCTTGGCTCGTGCAGCAAACCTGTGTGTGGCCCTACAGGCTGTGCCTGGCTTCCTGCTGGCACCAGCAGGGACCTCAGGTAGGCAGATGGACAGCTCCCCTCCCACCGTGGGGGCCTGGAATGGTCTCCAGGGCAAAGCCCTGTCCCCTCTAACCCAACTTGTGGATCTGCCGATGGGGAGGGAAGGCCCGGCCTCAGTGTTCCTGCCCAAGGGACCACCCCCGGTCAGCTTCAGTGTGTTCTCTCAGATCCATGGGCCCACCACAGGGTGTCCCGTGCCCATGGAGCCGCCCCAGCCTGGTTCCTGCAGCCTAGACCGTCAGGCATCCTCCTGTGTGGGGCCGCTGTGCTCGCTGACCAGGTACCACTTGAGCCGGTCCGGCAGTGGCAGGGCCTGCACCTTGGCGTCCACCGGCCACGGCTGCAGGTGCAGGCGGATGTGCACCCGGCACAGGTGCTTGAGGGGCGGGGGGTAGCTCTCGAGCTGCCGCAGGGAGCCATGCAGGGCCTGGATCTTGCCTGCCAGGCTGCCCTCCGGGTGGACGTCAAAGTTCTCGGGCAGCTGGAGCTTCCGGGAGTTGGTCACCATGAGGTCCAGGACAGTCTCGGCCTTGCGCAGCAGGTCAGCGTGGCTGTTGTCCTCGGGGCAGTCGGGGTGGGAGCAGAGGCGCTCGAAGATGGTGTGGAAGCCCGACCAGCAGCCCGGTCCATGGACAGAGCAGTTGTAGGCAGCGCCCGACTCGAGCAGGAAGCGCAGCAGGGGGAAGTGTAGCTGGAAGCTCTTGAGGCAGACGTAGGTGAGGGCCTCGTGGGCAGGGCACCTGCTGGGGTCGGCGCCGTGGGCCAGCAGCAGCTGTGTGACTTGGAAGCAGAAGCGCTGGATCATGGGGGCCTCCTCTATGTCCCCGCACACCGTCTCCTCCAGCAGGAAGATGATGCAGGTGAACACGGTGTCACCGTCCTTGGTGGTGGCCTTGACGTCGGCCCCTGCAAGGTGAGGGGGACGGAAGGTGGGAGGCGGCCTTGGAGCGTGGCCAGCGCGGAGGCACCCGGGGGCAGGCGTGGGGGGGTCCTCACCTCCCTCCAGCAGCAGCCGGATGTTCTCTGTATTGTGGATCTGCACCCCGTCGCTGCTGGCCAGTGCGTGGAGCAGAGCAGTCTTGCCTAGAAGGGGTGCAGGGTAAGGAGGTGCAGCCAGGGTGTTCTGACGCCCCCTTCCTTTAGGGAGGAACCAGACCCCAGCAGGACCAAAAATAGGCAGGCTGAGGGTGTGGCTCTGGCTGTCCTGGGAGGCAAGGGGTGGGCAGAGGGAGGGGTTCCCTCAGTCCCCCGACACTGCCTGGAGCCTGGTTTGGGTCTGTTCCTACGGAGACCCCCTCCCCAACAGCCCTCCTGTGGCTGGCTCTGGCCCAGCACCACGTGTCCTGTCCATGGCCCCTGACTGCAGGAGGCTGGTGGAGGCCCCGCATGGGCCATCCAGGTGGTACCCACCATGCTTGTCAGCTGCATTGACATCAGCGCCCAGCTGCAGCAACCGCTGCAGGCAGGGCAGGCGCTCTGGCTCCTCGCTGGCCAGGTCCAGGGGGCTACTCTCATGGATCTGCACGGGGAGGGAGCATGCCAGGTTGGCTGGGAGGGCCCCACGGCCCCTCCACCCCCACCCCCCTTGGCAGGCTGGCCGAGGCCACGGCCCTCACCCGGTCCCTGCGGTTAATGTTGGCGCCATGGCGCACGAGCAGCTCCACCATGTCGGGCTGATTCCGCAGCACAGCGATGTGCAGGGCTGTGTAGTAGGTGACCGGGTCTGTGCACACAGATGCAAGCCGTGTCAGGCAGCTGAGAGGGCCAGGCGCCTGGCCCAGGGCGTGTCCCCAGCTCTCCTGCCACAGCTAGCAGAAGCAGCAGGCCAGGGCTGCCAGGCTATGCTCCCTGGAGTCCCAACGTGCTGGAGCGCTGGGGGTGGCCCGGGGTTTGGCAGTCAGAACTGCTAAGACAGGGTCATCTCCGGGGGCTGCTCCACCCTCAGCCAGGTCTCCCCAGATGGGGCAGGAGGCCTGCGCAGTCCAGGAGCCTGACACACCCTGACTGCCCAGCTGCTTATCAGCTCCCCTTGCAAGATGCTCAGGAGGAGGTGGCCCAGACGTCGTCTTCCCGGCTCCGGGCACGGTGCCAGCACCGCGCGGGCTCTGCTGACTCAGCTGCCCGCCCCACCCCGGGCAGGGGCGGGGGGTCCCAGCCCACAGACCTTCGAAGTTGAGGTTGGCCCCGTGCCGCAGGAGGACGTCGGCTGCCCGCGTGAGCCCCAGCTCAGCCATCTTGAGCAGCGCGTTGCTCACGCCTTCTTGGTAGAATGGAGAGTGTGCTTTGCGCGCCAGCAGCTCCGTCAAGACGCACAGGCGACCCTCTTCGCTGGCCGCACCGTCCGGCCTGCAGCGGAATAGGGCGGGTCAGCCTGAGCGCCCCACGGGTTCCCGGTCGGCCTCGGGTGCAGGACCCCGTGGTCATCGGGGCCAGCCACCGGGGCCAGCGCTGCGCCAGGTCCTCCCCCCAGTGCTTCCAGGCGGTCGGTCTGCGGGGACACCTGCAAACCCCAGGCGGGTCCCACCCCCCTTGCGCCGGACGGCGAGCCCCGCTCTCGTCTGTGCAGAACGCAAACTCAGCGACAAGAGTGGGGAAGGGGCGCCAGGCACCGAACCCCTCAAAGTCCCCGCCTCTCCGGGGGAGCAGCCCAGACCCCGGGGCGGCGGGGTGCAGGGTGCAGGGCGGGGCTCGGCCCACCCCGCACCCCGGGCTCCGTCCAGCGTCTCGCCGGCGGCCTGCCTCGGCTCGGGGAGCACTGGGGGGACCCCAGACCCCGGCCGCCCGCCGAGGGGGCGCGTTACCCGTCCGGGGGCTCCTGCCGCTCGGGGTCCTGGATGCCCAGGGCGCCCAGGATGGCGTCCACCAGAGGCTGGTACTCGAAGATGATCCTTCGGAAGCCGTGCAGGAACGGCATGACGGCGGCTGCGCTGCTTGTCCGCCCACGCTGCCGCTCTCCCGCCCACGCTGCCGCTCTCCCGCCCACGTTGCCGCTCTCCCCGCTACGACCCCACAAAACACCCGCGAATGCCCGGGCCCCGCCGCCCCCCAAAGCCTCTGCCCCGCGCCGGAAGTCAAGGAGCTCCACACTTCCGCACCGCGCGGGGATGCGTGCTCTGCGGCGCCGGCGCCCCCTGCGGGCCGGGAGGACCGCGGCCCGGCAGCGGACCGGGCCGAGTTGGGGGGCTCCGGGCTGCGGGGCACCCCCGGAGCAGCCGCGGCCGCCCTGGCCCCGACGTGGACATCTGTGGGAACAGTACGGGGCGCCGGGGACGAGCCTTACACTCCGGCCGCTGCTGCCTGCCCCCGCTCTTCATTTTCCCTATGTGTGACATAGGTGCATCCTCCAGGGCTTAGCTCCGTGGCTGGAAGAGGGGTCCCGCCGGAAGGAAGCAGAGCCTGGACCCCCCACCCTGAAGCTGGGACCCTCCACCCGGGGACTTGGACCCTGCCCTGGGCCAGATAGCGCCTGTCCTCTACTGTCCCACCCTCCTCATCTCTGGTGTGGGATGTATTAAGTACACGTCTGGTGGTAGCGTGTTTAGATAAGCACACGTGTCCAGCCTTAGCTGCGACAGGCACATGTGTGAATACAGCATGTTTGTTCCACACCGTGTGCCCTCACAAGCCTCTGAGGCAAACACATGCCAAACGTTAGCTTGTTAAGGATGGCACGTGTGTCCTAGTGTGTTCAGCGCCCACGACTTGCAGGGCTCACCTCCCTCCGGCCACATGGGAGTACCATTGGCCCCGCATCCGAGGAGGGCAGGTGGGTGCCAGAACCCCAGAGGATTTGGAGGTTCGTGGGAGTTCAGGGCTGTACCCCTATTTCTCTGTCAAGGGAAGATAAAGAGTGGACGTTCCACTGGCGTTCAAGATCAGGGACAGGCCTTTCCTGCCCCACCAGCTTCTGGCCACCCAAGCCAGGGCTGGGATGGCTGGCTGCAGCTCCGCCCACTGCTGTCCTCCCTGGCCCCGGGCCCTGTTCCCTGGCCCCGCCGCTTCCTAAGGGGCACCCTGCCCATCTCGCATTGCATCCCGGGTCCACGAGCAGTGGCTTGAGCATGTCCTGGGCGAGACCCCAAACATCACCCTCAGCTTCCTCCCCCGGGACCCACCTGGCTCTTAGTCCTGGGTCCAGGGGGACCGTTCCAGGGCCAGCCTTGAGGGTCAACCCAATGGGAACCAGAACACGCCGACGTCAAATCCCCCCGTGGAGGTGGGCTTGCCGCCATACATGGTCAGGGTACACTGGAGCTCGGGGCTTTGTGGGGGAGGGAGGAGGCTGCAGCAGCCGGAGTGGCCTGCGTGTTGCCCAGCCCCCACCTCCAGGGACTCCCTGACCCCTAACCAGTGCCGGGGCTACCCGACTTCCTCCATCCGCCTTCCACAGGGGCTGTGTCCCATGGAACCCCCACTTCAGTCATCAGCCTGCTCTCTTTTGTACTTAGCTGCCCCCTCCCTGCCTGGCCGGCCCAGCCAGCAGCCCAACTTCATACTTCCTTTGTAGGACACAGGTCTTGGGGGCAAGTGCCTGGCTCCTACTCCCCAGGGAGCTTGGGGGTCCCTGTGCTGACCCATGCACACAGGAAAAGGACTTCCATATAGAAAGAGTTGTCGAGAATCAACAAGAAGGTAAAAGTGCTCTAGGGAGATAGGCCAGGGAAGACAGCATTGTGACATAGCAACTTAAGCTTCTGTCTGCAGTACTGGCAACCCATATGGACGCCGGTTGGAGTCCTGGCTGCTCTACTTCCAGTCCAGCTCCCTTCTAATGTCTCTGAGAAAGCAGTGGAGAATAAACCAAGTGCTTGGGACCCTGCACCCATGTTGGAGATCCAGAAGAGGCTCCTGTCTCCTGGCTTTGGCCGGGCGCAGCTCCCGGTATTGAGGACATCTGGGAACCAGCAGATGGCAGACCACTCTCTGCTGTGACTCTGCTTTTCAAATAAATAAAAAATAAATCTTGAAAGGAAGGGGCCTGGCACAATAGCCTAGCAGCTAAAGTCCTCCCCTTGCATCCTCCAGGATCCCATATGGGCACTGGTTCTAATCCCAGCAGCCCCACTTCCCTTCCAGCTCCCTGCTTGAGGCCTGGGAAAGCATCAAGGGCAGCCCAAAGCCTTGGGACCCTGCACCAGTGTGGGAGACCCAGAGGAGGTTCCTGGTTCCTGGCTTTGATTCGCCTTGGTTCCGGCCGTTGCAGCCGCTTGGGTAGTGAATCATCAAACAGAAGATCTTCCTCTCTGTCTCTTCTTCTCTCTATATATATATCTGACTTTGCAACAAATTAATTAATTAGTTAATTAATTAAAAGGAAAGGAAGATGGGCCGAAGACAGCAGGTGACTCAGACAGAGCAATGAGTCCCACCTCACTGTGCACAATGACCACAGGCCCCCGGGGACCGGCCACCCAGCAGGACTGTCCATGGCCACGCAGCAAAGCAGGCAGAAGAGTAGGTGGCATGTGAGCCCCTGCAGAAACAGTGGGTGCCTGCATCGTGGTAGCGCATGTGCATGCCCACACACACACAGCCAGGGAACCTTCTGGAAGGCTCCAATCGGTGCTGTCCTGGGGCACTGGGTCTGGCCACTCTGACCTCTGTACACCTGTGTATCGCCCTCCCTCCCACCATCCCGTGGGGTTGAGGGGGTGGTGAAGCATGGGATGGGGCCAGGTCTGACCCTGCACACAGAACACTGTCCACTTCCTGTCCCCATGGGCACACACACACACACACACACTCACTCACTCACTCATGCACTGGCTCTCACACTGACTCAGTCCTGGGGTAGGTGTCTCCAGCTCTTCCTCCACACACCCTTGCACTTCCTGGACTCCAGTCTCCCTCCTAGGAGGCCTTGGGAGCCAGCCCTGGGGTGGCCTCTTTATTTGATAAGTATCACCCCTACAGGTTCCTGGAGGCCACCCTTGGGGGCCTGCTAGTCCTGCTGTCAGAGCTCCAGCATCCCACCCCATAGCACCCCAAAACTCTGGGCTGTGGATCCCAGCACTGCTCACGGGCTGGCCTGGGCCCCAGAGAAGCACCCCTGGTGAGCCATGCTGAGCCTCAGAGGGGAAAATGCTGGGGGACCCTGCCTTTCTCTTTGTAGCCTCTGTCTGTGCCCATGTGAAAGGCCCTGCTTGGCCCCTGCGTTTCCCAGGGGTTCAGCAGGGCAGGGCGAGAAGGTCCTGGGAGACCCTAAGTCCCCACCCAGACATGGTGGAGGATCTGTGGCCTGGCTTGGGCCTGCCCCGCGGGGTGGGTGGGATGGGAACTCTGGCACGGTGCAGCTCAGCCCTGCTTCCCCTGCTGACAGACCCCTCTCTGGACCTCCCAACAGGACAGAAGGTCTGTGCCTGCCCTGTCCCCGGCTGGCCCCCGCAGGGTCCCAGAGACCCTAGCTGGCACCCTTGTGGCTCCAGGCAGGCTAGCTCCCAGGGCAGCCTGGCCCAGCCAGGGCCTGCCCAAGGCGGGTTCAGGAGGGCGGGCAGGGCTGGGGGTGGAGGCTGAGCAGGGCGGGGGCAAGGGGTGCCTGTGCTCCCCAGGAAGCCCGCAGCCCGCCCCGGGCCCCTGCTTGGCAGGGCCTGGGCAGGAAGCGGCCGTCGGCATCTGTCAGGCTGGCCCGAGGAGGGGCCGGGAAATCTGATCATTAGGAACCCCTCCCCGCTGGCTGGCTGGCTGGCTGGGGGAATTTAATTAAATTGCCGGCGAGGCCTGCGACAGGGGCCACATCTGGAACCAATATGTGAGCCTGGAGCGGTTTGCTTCCCTCTGGCTCAGCTTTCCCACCGTGTGCAGCTCGGAGCCTGGGGTCCTCTGGGAGCAAATTCCTGGCAGACCAGGACAGGAGTGAGCGGGGCAGACAGAGCCCAGGGACTGAAACCACGGGAGCCAGGCGGGAAAGGAGAGGAAGAGGGCAGCATTAAGCCTGGGAGAGCATGTGTCAGAAGATTCTAGAAACCCAAGTCCCTGCATAGCCAGCTCCCATGGTGCTCTGCCCTGTTTGATCCAGGACTCCCCCCCCCGACCACCTGGTCACCTGGGATGATGTCACCAGACCGCTGTGTGCCCCGTGCCCACCAGTGCCAGGGTGGATGGAGACAGGAGCACTTGTGGCTGGGTCCCAGGCGGAGGGGGGCTCGGGTTGCGACGGCCAGCAGGGGTGGAGAGGTCCTGCAGCTGGACAGCTCTTGGTATAGGAGCCAGGGACACTGCCGTCCCCTCCTCATTGTCTGCAGGGCGAGGAGCCTCCGGGCCCCAGGCCCAGCACCAGCTTGTGTTCCTGGCTTGGAAAGTCCCAGTGTGGTCCTGCCTGGACCACCAGGGGACAGAGCACCTACCACTGGTTCCATCCTCGCCCAGCGTACCCACACCCACCCGTTCCGCCCAAGTTCCGCAGCTCAGGCCTACAACATGCTTCCAGGGAAGGGTGTGGTCTGGAGGTCTGGGTGGGGAGCCTCCAGGGTGGTCTTCGTCCTCCCTGTCTGCTCCCACGCCCTGCTGGGGCCCATGCCGAGACCCCCTCCAGAGCAGCTCTCATCCTGGGGTGGCCCACGTCCAGCCCTGCACCAGTCCCAGCGGGGTTGGGGGGCTCTCACGGGCTGAGGCACTAGGTGAATGATGAGGGGGGCCCAGGGCTCCCCTAATCCCCACTGTGACCTGCCTCAACCCAGGGGGTACACTCTGTGTCCTGGATGTCCCCGGCCTTTGTGGCATGGAGGAGAAACTGAGGCACAGGGAAATTTGAAGCAAAAAAAACAACAAAAAAGCTTGGAGTAGACATCTGGACTAGCAGTGGCCATCAGCATATTGGGATCCAGCCGGTGGCTCCGGCCCCTACCTCCAGCTTATGGGGGGTGAGCAGCGTGATGGTGCTAATGAGTGGGTCCCTGCCCTGGGCACCCCTGCTCACATGAGATGCCGGGATGAAGCTCCTGGCTCTGGGCTTTGGGCCTCCAGAGGTTGCAGGCATCTGGAGGGTAACCCAGCAGATGGAAGCACATACTGTGTGCATTCATTTAAAAAAAATTTTTTTTAAAGATTTACTC